TGTGTGTGTGTGTGTGTGTGTGTGTGTGTGTGTGTGTGTGTGTGTGTTTCAGGTACACAAAGCAGAAGCTACTATGGAGAGTCATGTCACACAGATTTCCAGAGATGACCTCGAGGATCTCAGAGATGCCTTTAATAGAATTGGTCAGTTCCACACTCACACACTCACACACACACACATACACACACGCACATGCACACACACGCACCTGCACACGCACACACCTAACCTGACCCTACAGTTGTACTGACAGGAATCTAAGTAGGACATTTACAGCTGACAATAAAGCATGACTCTTACACAAGATACTTTTATCGCCTTGGGTTGTTCATAATGAGGCGTTGCCAGATTTTATCAGTTTATCATCAACATAACTGTATGGTTACAAAAAGATGCTGACAATAGTCAGCAACATAAATAAGGAATGTCAGATTTCTATATGATACTCAAATAGAAAGCACAGTAGATTAAACAAGTAAAGAGGGTGAGACAGAGATTTTAAAATGTTGAAATGACCTGACATGTAACTGTAAAGTCAAAAGTTCTTGAAATAAATTTGGTGCTAATTATAAGTTGAATGGAGACATTGTTTCATTGGTACACTTCCAATTAGATTAATTACAATGAATTGCTAGAGTTGTGGTTATGTTAGCTGAGGTAAAATTAGTTTTTGATCATTATGTGTTGATGAACATAAAAATTGGACAGTGCATGTATTATAATAAAGGCAACGTTACAGTCGAATGGTTTATCATGTTGTGAGCGTCAAACTTTTTAACGTGACAACTTTTCTTTGTGTGAGGATGGTTTAAGCAGAAAGGGCAACAAGTTAAGTCAATTATTAGATTTGATATCAGATCTTTTGTTAAGACATGAAGTATTTGCAATATACTACAGGTTTTCATATCTGTACATTTGAAACAGCATCAGTGTTTTCATCAATGACTACCTTTTGTTTCTTAGTTTAGTGTATTAGCATGCTAAAGTGCAGTTGAGGCCGATTGGATGTCATTTGTTTTGTAAGTATTTTCTTACAAACCAGAGGATGATATGAAGTGAGGATTTGACCTAAAGGTGACACGAGATGAACAGTGACAGGCTCAACAAAGTCCACAAAGACCATAAATGTCTGCACTAGTTTGCATCGTAATACATATGACAGTTATGGAGATATTTCCCTCTGAACAGCAAATGTAAAACCTCAACCGTGGGGACCATGAATGTCTGTACGCAATTTGAAGGGAATCTCTGCAATAGTTGTTGAGATTTCAGTCTAGAACGAAAAAAATCTGTTCACAATTTTTTATCCGTCCTTTTTCTTCCTAATTCTCACGACTCATGTTCACACTAAGGCAAGGCCGTATGATGACTTTGTTTCAATTTGGGGGATCACAAGCCCAAAATCCTGTTTAGTGCACAGCAGCTCAGCTGAAGGCAACAATTTGACATATATGAAGAGCAAAGTTTGCCATAATAAATGAATAATGAATGAACTCTTATTTGGTTTTAAATGGAGCAGTAACTATACGCAATAAAACAATTAAACTGAAATATCAGTCTCTATTCTCCCTATAATTCGTACCAAATTACTCACAAATTCTTATTATATTAAATGATTAGGAAACTACAGACCTCAATAAAGCATTATCAGTCTTTTGTTTGTCCTTGCTTTTATTATCTGCGTGCAATACTTCCAAATAGATATTATGCTCATCATTTTAAGATTAATATTTGTAGAGCAAATTGACTCATTGTATATGTGTGCGTTTCTCTCTGTGTCTATTTGTGTTCAGATATTGATAACAGCGGCTTCGTGAGCGACTTTGAGCTCCAGGAGCTGTTCAGAGAGGCGCGTTTCTCCCTGCCGGGGTACAAAGTGCGAGAGATCATCGAGATGTTCATCGCTGGAGACACCAACAAGGACGAGAAGATCAGCTTTGACGAATTTGTTTCTGTAAGTTTGGATGCAGTTTGTGAGCAAAAGAAGTACAACTTATTCATCAAAAGCGTGCATGGAGTAACGCAGCCTGTCCATGTTCAGATCTATCAAGAACTGAAGAGCAAGGAGCTCAGCGAGACGTTTAGGAAAACCGTGACAAGGAGAGATGGGATCCGTTCCTTCGGAGGAATGTCAGGAAACTCCAGCGAGGGAACGCAGCACTCCTACTCTGGTGTGAGAGAGTATGCATTGTGTGTGTTGTTGTTGCTGTTGTTGTTGTTGTATGTATATCATGCTTTATGTCGATTTTCCTAATTTTGATTGCTGTGATCTCGGTGTGCCAAAAAGTGTAGCTCTCTGTGACTATATCATGTGTGTGTAGATGAGGAGAAGGTGGCATTTGTCAACTGGATTAACAAAGCCCTGGCAAAAGACAAAGACTGCCAACACCTGCTGCCCATGAACCCTGACGATGAAAGCCTCTTCACCTCTGTTCGTGATGGCATCCTGTTATGGTAACACACACACACACACACACACACACACACACACACACGGACGAATCTGAGATTACACATATCTGAAATAACTCACTCACACTCCTTGTTCTCCATCAGCAAAATGATCAACCTGTCTCAGCCTGACACGATTGACGAAAGAGTCATCAACACTAAGAAACTTGCCACTTTTACAATGACAGTGAGTAGTAAATCAATAACACTTATAACACACATACACTGCAAATACTTAGAAACGTGTCATGCATGCTAGCGTGCTCGTTTGCGCTCTGGCGGAGAGTTAATTGAGAAGCTCGATAGCTAGTTGTTTTTCACCAGACTATTTCATGGCTGCTTACTGTGAGGTTGCAGGCAACCAGCTGAGGCTCCAGAAATTGTAGTTTTAAAAAAATATATATTTAATGAGTAATGGACAGAGCCAGGCTAGCTATGTCCCCCCTGTTTCCAGCCAACTGGCTGCTAAAGCTCCAACTTCATACTGAGTTGACAAAAGTGAGAATGGTATCAATCCTCTCATCTAACTCTCTGCAAAAAAAGCAAATAAAGGTATTTACTAAAAAATCAAGCATTACTTTTAACAATAATTTATAAAGGGCTGGAAACTAAGAAACAACATTTGTATCTCACTAACTAGTTAAAAGGAAACTAGAAATAGATACATTTATTTGATTTTATTCAACTAAGACAGTAACAGTTATAAGTGTAGCTCTAGACAATAGATTGGTCTTTCAACAAGGTTGCACTGTGCAATACCATCTTGTAATATATTAACTTATTACTACATCATGTATTATATATATTCTGTAAATGTCTCCTCTGTGGAGAAGGAAGGATAGAACAGTCACATATTTGTCCTTTTTTTACAACTTGATGTTGTTGTTTAATAAGTTAGTTATTATTTGGAGGACTCGGGCCACAGCCTTTCATTTTGGTGAGCTGGTACAATTATTTCTATGAAATTTCTGATTTTGAGCAAAAATGAACATGTTGATCCACAATTTGTAGGAGAATCTGGTCCTAGCACTGAACTCAGCTTCAGCGATCGGCTGTATGGTGGTGAGCATTGACGCCCATGATCTGATGGCTGGGAAACCCCACCTGGTTCTGGGCCTGCTCTGGCAGATTATCAAGGTCGGCCTCTTTGCTGATATAGAAATCAGCAGGAACGAAGGTTAGTTCACACGCACACGCACACAAGGTGTATTTAAAAAACTATAACCTTTTATAGAGAGTTTTAAACTAATGGCATGTGTGTCTTCAGGTCTGATTGGCCTTGTGACAGACAAGGAGAATCTGGACCATCTGCTGTCTCTCTCCCCTGAGGAGCTGCTGCTCCGCTGGGTCAACCAACATCTACGCAACGCTGGAACAAACACCATCAGCAACTTCAGCGATGATATTAAGGTCCTCCTCAGAAAACACACACAAACACACACACACACACATTTACACAAAAAAAGGTGTGTAATCCCTTTTTGTATTGTACCACTGTAGGACTCACGAGCCTACTTCCACCTGTTGGACCAGATTGCTCTTCAAGAGGAGCAAGACTACAAAAGGAGCGTCAAAATCGACATGAGCGCCATTAATGTGAGTCACTTTATTTTAAAATCACAAAGAAAAGCTGATGAATGGAAAATGTCAAATCTCTCTGTTCTATTATCCTACAGATATAAATCACACTAAATATAGGGACCTTCCCATTGGATTCTGGCATGATTATATGTACGTAGTGTCATGTTTTATGTGTATGTGAAGGAGCGTGATTTGGACCGAAGGGCTGAGATGATGCTGCGGCAGGCGGCCCGGCTGGAGTGCAGACAGTTTGTGTCTCCTCATGACGTCACATCTGGGAACAGCAAACTCAACTTGGCTTTTGTGGCCAACCTGTACAACATGCATCCTGGCGTGCAGAAGGCTCAGATCAATGGCGGCAACGGCATAGGAACTGCACACATAGAGCGTGAGACACCGATTTTGTCCAATATTAGGTTGCATCATACCACGGTCTTGGGGCTGCTCATTGCATCACATAAAATGCTGGCATACACACTCATGCCAGAATGCTTATCATATTGTAAATGTACAGAGAACTGATTTGAAGAAAAACCCACAGGTCATAAACCCAATAAAAAGCCCAAGTAAGTAAATATTTCAGGGTTAGTTATGCCAGCCATAAAACCATATCTGCTTTACATAAGCTACCGCTGAACTTAAAACATTCCTACCAGGTGACAGTAACTGTGTGGGAACAGCTGGTTGATAACGTGATGTGGCTGTTTATCATGTTCTTCATATCTTTCCAGCTGAGTCCAACGAAGAGAAAACATTTAGAAACTGGATGAACTCTCTGGGCGTCTCTCCGCATGTCAATCACTTGTTCTGGTATGTCATCAGATACGCATCAATGTGGATAACCTTATCAAAGACAAGGGATGGAAACTTTATGCCTCCATTTATCTATTGATGGGCTGCACCAGTACAACCAGTAATGAGGGTAGAGAGTCATCTGGGCAATTAGGAAATCAGGGGAGCAACATCAGTGTCCTCTTTCGATATACTAACATTTAAAAATTGGCTTTTATTTAGTTTTACACTTACCTTTTATCTATATTTATGTTATTACATTTGTATATCACATGTTCTCTTCTGCTCTTGTGAGTATAAGCATTGTTTTCTTTGCTCTTACTTTCTAAAATTATTTTTGAAGTTGCCATATAAATAAAAGTTATTATCTTTATTAATATTATCACAGTACAAAGTATTCTACTTGTAGACTGGTGCCTTGCTCAAGGGTTATATAGCTGAAATATTATTACTTCACTTTCTGTACACACATTTTTCTCTGTACCAGTTTACCCCTTTAGACTTCAAAGCTGTAATGTCCCAATTTATAATAAGTGTCATGAACAGGGTTATAGACAGGTTTAAAAAAAATCTGAAGTTGAGTCCATGTGAATGTGGTAGAGGCATATTGGATCCCACATTGATTTATTAATTTATTGGACCAGAAGTAATCAAATGTAAACAGTCTATAACAGACTGGCCTAAGCCTGTAAAATATCCACAAAGTTTTAAACGCCAACAAGAATCCCATTTTTAGTGCACAAGCCTGAAAATGACATGCTCAAAATAAAGTGACTCTCTGTAATTACTTTGTTAATTAGATTAAGTGATACTGAACCAGATTTAGCATAGTGTAAATCTTGTATTTTTTTCACCTCTTTAGTTCAATGATTCATTTCTGCATGCGCCTCAGTGCAGTGATACCGTGTTTTCCTCACTGTCTGTGTGTTTGCTCTTACAGGGACCTGTGTGATGGTTTGATCATCATGCAGCTTTATGAGAAGGTTAATGTGTCTGTGAACTGGAAGAAAGTCAACAACCCACCTTATCCTGTCCTGGGGGCCAACATGAAGAAGGTGTCCACATTAAAGAAATAGAAAGAAACATTTTAACGATAAAATAAAAGGAAGGTAAGATTGTATTTCCTCTCGTGTCTCAGCTGGAGAACTGTAACTATGCTGTGGAGCTGGGCAGGGATGTAGCTCATTTCTCTCTAGTCGGCATCGGAGGAGAAAACCTGAACGAGGGGAGCCGATTGCACACCCTGGCGCTGGTCTGGCAGCTGATGAGGAGGTACAAGCACTGGTCAAAGCTGTGGGACATAACAATTTTGGTGGTTTGGATGCAATGGCTCCTTAGCGTTGTCTATCCTGCTTGTTATCCTCCAGGTACACAGTGTCGGTTTTGTCAGATCGGGGAGATGGTGATAAGGTTGGAGATCAGATCATCCTCAACTGGGTCAACACCACCTTGAGCCACAAACGAAAGGACACACAGATCAGCAGCTTCAAGGTATGTGTGTGTGCGTCTGTTTGTGTGAATGCATGGTGTATATGAGTAAACACATTTGCATTGGACCCTGTTTCCCTGTTTTCTGCAGGACAAACTGATCAGCACCAGTCTGCCAGTGATTGACCTGATCGACGCCATCGCTCCCGGTACCGTCAAGTGGAACATGGTGAAGAGAGCAGAGAGAGGAGTGCTGAAGGATGCTGATAAACTCAACAATGCAAAGTAAAAGACAAAATCTCAACTGCCCCCCCCTTCCCTGTATCTTTGTATTTGTCACTCGATCATCTTCTCGTCTCTCTTTCTGTTTCTCTCCCAGGTATGCGATCTCATTGGCTCGTAAGATCGGAGCTCGTGTCTACACGCAGCCGGAAGATTTGGTGAAAGTAAATCCCAAGATGGTGCTGACGCTGTTCGCCTCTCTCATGGGCCACGGTATGAAAAAGGCCGACTGCTGAAACAGACAGGAACCAGCCACCTGGAAACCAACCACCAATATACATTTCATTTCTGTGTGCTTTTCATTCCCCCCCATGTTTTTCTCATCAATGTATTTTTTTTCTTTAACCTTTACCTTTCTGTGATCAGAGCAAGACACTGTTATTCTCTGTTTCTCTTTTCATGCAAACAATAAACGTACTTAAAGTTGTAAATCATTTCTCATCAGCATTAGCATTTGTTTGTTGCCTGTGATTTGACAGAGCAAGCTCCTAATTGTTCTTTTCTGTGTCATATTTGATAGTGTATGACATCTGTTTACTTATTCTGCTATATGAACAGAAAAGGAGATACAGCAGAAGGAAAAGCAGAATCACACACGCACCTATCCTTTTTATCTGTAAATGTTGTGCATTGAATATTGCTATAAAATTATTAAAGAGAATCTATTAAATGTAACCAGCGACCTTATATGTGTCTGGTTAAATAAAGAAGAAAACCAATATACTCATGTGGATTTAGAGACACTGAGCTACATTTTAGGACAACATAAAGGGGAGCATTGGATGTGATCCGATAGTGTCTCGAAAATTTGGAAATCCAAAAAATTGAATTATGCTATGAAGTCCACAAATACTTATCTTCTCTTTGGTGACTGGGTCAGTATATCTGCAACACACTCAAAAGGGATTTTGAACGCAACACAATTTAAACAAAACAAAAAAGTAGCCAATGTATGGTGATGGAAAGTGTACAATTCTGAGGTACTTGTACTTGATTAATTAAATTTTCTTCTATATAACTCCACTGCATTTCAAATATTGTACTCCAAGGATTTTGTTCCTAAGTACTTTACAGATCCAGATTACTAATGCAACAATATTTATTTACAAATAAATTAAGTATATAAAACCACCCCACCTTTACTATCTGCAACATAAAAAATATGCTTACACATCAATAAATTAGTATCTATTACAATCTATGAATTGAATATTACCTGATTATGATTATTCTGCAGAGGGAATACTTACTGGTACTTGTACTTGTACTTTTCCCTAAATAAAATGCCTCTGTACGTCTTCCACCGCTGTACTGTATTTACTTTTTCGGTCCGTATATTAACAATTACTTCGCCAGGGGGAGCAGTTTGCACTTCGAGTTTAAACGTAGGTGTGTTGACCCTCGACGGCTGCCGTACCATAACAAACACGTCATTTTGGAGCGAAAGTTTTCGAAACACTTGACAGGACGGACAGGACGGACAGGACATGTAGCGCCGGAAGTGTGCTGGTTAAAAAGCACGTTACCTCACAATATTAATATAATATTTTTTAAAAAGTTGCTTGTTCAAGTAGCGACACACCAAGAGACTGTAAACATGGAAGGACTGGAGATGTCTGCCATGATACCGGCTCTGCAGGAGCTAGCGAGGTGAGTAACGGGCTAAAAGTTGGCTAAGCTAAGCCATAAACACCGCTAACGTCACACTGTGTTGGTGTTTGCAGCGCCAGCGCGGCTGAGTACGACCAGGCGGTGCAGACACCTCGACAGATCCTCTGTCAGTTCATCGACCGGATACTTACGGACGTGGACGCCGGTGAGTCTCCAGGAATCTCCAGCACGTGCAGGGGGTGGACACAATAACAGAAACACCTGACAGTACAGTGCAGTAGTAAATATCAGCTTGTTGGAGCTATAAAAGCGTTAGTGGTCAGCTTTTAGTGAAAACTGGCAGATGTTTATGCAATGTATGTTCAACCAATCTTGCTTGTACTCTTATCTTTTCAATATTTGAGTTTTTTTTAATGTCCTTTTCCTCTTGCCACAATTTTGCTGTCTTTGTTTTGTATACTACTACTACTACTTTTACATTTATGTCAGGACTTTTCTGTCAAAATTAGTTTATAGGTGAGTTGTATGCTGTTGCCACTTACATGTCAGAAAGGTAATATCTATGCTGTTACATTTGTTTTTGTCGTAATAGCCGTTTTGTATCATAATCACGACCAACCAGGGCTGTTTGGTTTGTTTGTTGTTGGTTGGGTTTTTTTTGGCCTGTGCTCTCCCAGAAGTCCAGCTTAGGCCTCCCTATTTGGCAATGAATGATCATAAATGTAACAGTCTGACTCCTCGTATTATTCTTGCCTAGTTTGGGGTTGCACCAACAACTATTAATACAAAAAAGGTAATTTTATGTAGCATAAGTATGTGCTTCCCTCTCTTCTAACCCTTTCATCGTACTGTGACTTTTCAGATTGATCTTGTAACCAATCAGGGGAAGGAAGGTTCTTGATCCCCAGGTTGTGAACCAGTTGTGTTAATCAAATCTGTGTTCTTCCAGTTGCTCTCGGGCTGAGTAAGAAGTCCAGTTCAGAGCCGGCCTGTGTGATGCTGCTGGACTTTGTGCAGCATATAATCAAATCCTCGTCTCTGATGTTCGCCAACCCTGCCTGCCAGCCATCGCAGTACCCAGACACCACACAGAGCTGTACTGGTACAAGAAGTTAAACATGTCAAAAATGTTCAATTATTATTATTATTATTATTATTATTTTGTGCTTTTCTTTTCAACCTCTGATGTCCCCTCATTCCTCCCTTGATTCAGACTTCAGTAAGTGGGTGGCTGTTCGTTTGCTTCGTGTGGCAGCAGCTCCAGACTGTGACGTCATCCACGGGCGGGTCTCTGCCGTGTTGTGCTCTTTGCTTCACACTCTGAGAGCCAGGGCGCCGTTCATCTTCAGCCACCTCACTCAGGAGCTCATTTCTTTGGCCCAGGACCTCAGCGGCATCCTGTACACTCACATTTCCACACTGGCAGGAAGCGGACACACTTTGGACATTCACAAACGGAGCCGGTGGCCTGTAACTCTCGAGCGCTTCGGTATCTCCCCCGGTCGTGCCTCCTCGTACCTCACCGCCTCTCCTCTGGTTCTCTCCTCGCCGGCTGCCCTGGAGTCGCTGAGCGCCGTGACAATCGGTGCCGTAACCGACACTCTGCGGGGAGTCGTCTCCCGCCGTGACGTCAGTGTGGCCTGGGAGGCGGCTTGCTCCTTCCTTGCCAATGGCAACACCAGGTTGAGGAAGAGCTCCATGGCGATGCTGAGTCGACTTGTGGAGCTGGGAGGGTTTCCTGAGATGCAGGGCCACGAGTTCTTCACAGCCTACCTCCAGTTGCTGGAAACGCATTCCTACACGAACACAACAAACACAAACTTAGATGAGAAGCATCCGTATGAAGGAGAGCTGCTGCACCTGACTCGCTGTGTGTTTCAGTCGTCTGGTGTCTCTCATTCACGCTTTGAGCCCATCCATCTCTCGCAGATGTTCGAGTGTGTTTGTGCTCTCGGAGGCTCCGATGTCAAGCTGGGGTCAGAGGTTACCGAATCACTCTGCTTGCTGTTCAGCTTCTTGCTGTCCGTCGCCGTAGTTTATGAAAGTGCCGCATTGTTAAGAAGGCAGCGAGTCACCGAGGTCTGCAGGACGCTGGCACGCACCGTCGGAACAGAAGCTCAGGCTGAAGTAGGATTCTGTTCACCATCTTTTTTTTTTTTTTAGAAATCTCTCTCTCTCTTGCTGTTATAAACATCGTCACGTCTTTTCTCTCTCGCCCTCCTCACATATATCTGTGCTGCTTGTGTTTCACAGTGTGCGGAGGGGTTTCTCCGAGCCGCACTGAAGGCTGAGACGGCCGCGGTGATGCAGAAGTCAAGAGACGGAGAGACTGCTGCCAAGAAATCCTGCCAATCTGCCACCAAGTCCGTCGGCAAAACAACAAAAACATCAGCAGCGTAAGTTCCTAAACATTCACATCTGTGTTCTGTGAAGTAGTAAGTAGTGCAGTGGTGTAAAAGAGAGTAGAGACTGGGTTTTGACTTAAATCATGTGTATCCGTGTCTTAAGGGAGGTGGACATGCGTGTTGGCAGTGAGGTTTGGGCTGTGGTGAACAGTCGTCTGGAGGAGCTGCTGACTTTCTTGAACTCTGACGGCCCTGAAACCAAACTGACTCTCTGTGCTCTGGAGGGTCTGGCCCTCATCCTCCACCTGGCAGCCCTCTGCTCCTCTCCAACCAGGTAGTACACAGACATTTACACCTGCTGCCACTCCAGCCCTCCTACTACATAACGTCAATACTGACTCTCCAGTGTAAGAATAAGTTGCTGGAGTTTTGTGATATTTCTTCTCTCACCGAGCTTATTATACCACTCTTTGTTTCTCTGTCTCGTTGTTGACAGTCCTTCTGCTCTCCTCTGGGTGCCCTCTGAGACTCTGGGCAGGGCGCTGAAGAGCTGTCAGTCAGTGTTAGACGGAGGTCCTCAACCCGACTCAAACCACAGCTACTTTCAGTCTGCTTTCCGGACTACTGTTAAGGTCCTGGACTCTATCCTCTACCTGACAAGTAAGGATATGTACACTCATTGTACATCCTGTTCCTATGCTTTTTATTTGTTATTTTTCTACTATTTGTCCCCTCTAAAGAATATTGTCAGTTATTTAGATTATTCCCTACAAATGAATGTAAAAGTATATGGCAGAAATCAACCCCGAAGCACATCCTTTTGAGTACAGTTCATTGATCTCCATCTGTTTTCATCTCCGCGTGTGTTTGTGTATGTGTGTGTGTGTGTGTAGTGAACAGCAACAGCGAGGATGGGCTCCAGCGGCGCGTGTGTGCTCTGCTGTCTCTTCCCTGGGTGTGTGAGAACAAGTCCCTCTCCGCCTACAAGAGTTCAGGGTTCCCCTCCTGGCTGCCGGTCTTCGCTAATAGACTCAGCTTCTGTTACTGTGAGTGTTTATTCTGCATCACAACTCAGAAACATCTCACTAAAATGAAATTTGTGATGGCGTCTCTGGTCACCCGTAGCTGTATCTTTTTTTGTGAATTCAGGAGCTAAATATTTGTAAAGACGTTTCACAATTGCTATAGAATACTTTTAGCAGGCTCTTTGCATTGTGACTATTTGTAGTGACGTCAAACTTGACGTGTCGTTCCAGCGTTTGAGATCCAGGCGGACTGTGTGTCACTGCTGGCCCTTCTGCGTCGTGGCGTGTGTGATACGTGGCGGGTGTGCGTGTTGTCCAAGACGCTGCTGAGTCCAGATGACGTGAGGAGAGCGGCGGCAGTCAGGGCCTTCCCTCTTCTTCTTCACCACCTTGGAAACTCGCACCAAAACCTCATCAGCACTTCTCTGCTGTACGCACACATATATATGTATAAACAATATGCACACAATCGCAAATATGACCATTGCCACTTGCCCAAGTGTCATTGTTTTGTCATTCTTCAGTGATATTGTGCTTATTTTAAGTGTTTTAAACTTCTTTTTTTTTCCATTATGTTCATGTTGCACATTTTGACCATTTGCAGTCCCAGGATGGGGGACGGCTCAGAGCAGGTGAAGAAGGAGCTTGCCAGGATAATCGGTCAGCTGACCTGTATCCAATCAGACCTCTCCCAGCTTAGTGACACCCACACAGAGTCCACTCGTCTTCCTGAGATCCTCTGCCACCAACTCAGCCTTGCAGCAGAGCATTCTGGGAATACTTCTCCATCCCTCAGGGCTACTGTTGTCAGACCCTTCCTGCCACTGCTCGAACAGCAAGCTCCAAGTAGTGTTAAACAAGGTATTGTGTGATGTTTGCTTCAATAATGAGCTTTTACAAGAAAGCCTAAAAGATTCTACATTAATTATATATGCAATACATTGCATTGCATTATTTCATTCAGGTTATTTACTTGTTTATATCACTTTCTTAGCTTTCCTCGAAGCTTTGCCTCACCTCTGCCAGCATGTCAAACTGGTTGCTGGAGGAAGCGACTCCCAGGCAGTTCTCTGTGCTCTTATTGGTCTGATGGAGGACTCGGATCCAGCGGTCAGAACACGTTTCAGCCAATCGGTGCGTTTCCTGCTAACAGAGACCAGCAGAAACTCCGAGCAGGGCTCTCTGAGTGAGGTACAGTCCCAGCTGTAAGAATCTAATGTCTAAAAAAACCCCATTATTTTCATTATAAGCGTGTTATTTTAAGACAAAACATCATAAAATATTGAATGTAGTTAAGGGGAAAGGTTT